CCCACGCTAAAACTAGTGTGGGACTGTGCTAATTTTAGAACGGGACTGGCGCAGGTCTAGTCCTCGTTAGACGAACAGTCAGTCCCACGCTAAAAATAGCGTGGGACTGTGCTAATTTTAGAACGGGACTGGTGCAGGCCCGACTTTGGGAGACGAACAGTTAGTCCCGTGCTAAAAATAGCACATGACCCTATCTTAATTACTCTGGCCTGGCTGTTCATCTATATGACTTCTTAGGGCTATCCGGTCCCAACTGGTCAAACTTGAATATCTCACTAACCCTTGGTCTGTTTCGAGTACCGTTTGGACCGGGCCCCACTAATTGGCCCATTGCGGTTGCGACGGTCCAGTCCAATGGGGACGATCAGGTCTCCGGAAGACCGTACTGCCACGCCGTCTTTCCCTTGATTTCGGCTCAGGGGAAATCCAACCGATGCGCTAGGGTCCAGTTTGACCATGAATGTGGACGTCCCTAGGCGCGACTTAGACGCAGCACGGGGTTGACCGTGGCGAGTCATTTTCCGCTGTTGTGCCGCACCGTCTTCCGACAACGTGACTAACCTCTACCCTCACCTGTTACATTGCCAGGGAATGAACGGCAAGGAACTTGGTCCTCACTTGGTGGAAAGCGAGGGCAAGGGGAGCGCTGCCGGTTTCTTGTGCCACCAAGAAGGGAAGGCACCAGACTGTTGTAAGCCTCGGAAAAAGTGGGAAGGAGTGCTGTTTTTTTGTGACAAGGTCGGTTTGACTCAACCATCCTCTCAACTGCATGACTAAGTAAAAGGCGTGGCTTGCTTGAATGAAGGGAAAGATAACCAAAGGATCACCAAAGGCAAAGGAAACTTAGGCTTGTGGGAGGGGCGATGTGTTGACCCCATTGGGGACTGTATTTGGTCCATGCTTTGTGTGGTGTTGTGCAGGTGAGTAGCTTGAGATGACTTGATCTGGACTGGATCCGCAGATGAGGGCTAGGGTGGGAAATTGGACAAGGGAAGGACTTAGACCTAGCCTAAACCATGAATGTGAAACGGGTTTGACGGATGGATGCTTGGATGAATGGTAGATGCCTGGATGTGGCTTGGGTGATGATTGAATGCAATAGCTCTCTTGAATGGAGCGTACGCCCGGAAGGACTAAGGGCGGTCTTGGATAGGTGAATGCAACACTAGTGGCTCAAGCAAAAAAAATATAGCGGCTAGGGGTCCGGGCGATGCCACCCCACCCCAAGGATGCCGTAGGGGCCGTCCCGAGCCACTAGACTTAGTGAAAAGATGCATGGTCCAATGGATGACGCTTGGCCTACGTATGATAAGAAGACAGATCTTCAATAAACTCCCTGAACTGCTTGTGTATTGGAAGGAGCAATTGTCTGGTCAGACTTAATTGAATCAAGAAAACGCCACGAGTGACCAAAGAGCTACCATCTTGACGCGAGAGCGGAGTTACATCCCCCAATGTAAAGCCCTATGCAAAAGGCTCATCCCCATCCATCTCAAAGCACTAGGTGGGGATGCCTCTCGGGCGAACGACCCACGCCCTAAGCGTGAGCGTGGGCGGGTCGAGCCAAATGGGACCCGCAGTGGGGTCGACTCAGGCTCGAAAGTCCTTCAGGGTACGGCCCCTACAAAAATGGTGGACGTGCCGGGTATGGGTTAAACTGACCCTGACGATCTCGAGGGGGGCGCCCGACGCATGACCATGTACATAACTGAAGATAAGGAATATGGACTTGTGTATGCTCTATCCCTTTGAGTGAAGCAGATTTGAGGGCGGCTAGGCGCATGGCAAGGCCAGGCCTGGAGGTATAACATGCATGCTGCACACACAATCAGCCATCTCCTTTGGAGGTGACTCTAGTCCTCCTTCTCTCGGGCTGATGTTCGTCAGACCGGGGAAGCCTTGGCAAGCCGCAGGTCGACCCTTCCTCTTCGTGTGAAAGAAGGGCTCCGGTTACCTGCCAGACGGTTGGGATTCCGGGCGAGTCCGGGTTCCAATGAAAATCCAGCGGCGGAGCGATGCGACCAACATGGGTGCTTTCTCCTCTTCTCTGGAGCCCAGCGGGCTCCATGCACCGCACTTAAATATTTGAAGGAACCTCATATGAACACAAAACGTAATGGAGAAGGAACAATCCTGCCCTTTGAACGGACACATGAAGTGAAGATAAGGGGAATGAAGGGAGTTGCTAGACTCCAAGGGAAAACTAGCTCACCTTTGAAGATTCTCACGAAAAGGAACCGGGCACTATGTATGGAAGTTAGAGGCGAGTGGCACGCACTGTCCTGAGAGAAAATTTGTGAGTTTTGGGTAGGAAGCGCCGGGAGCACCATGGGAAAGACACTTGTTTTATGTGTGTCCCACTTGGGACTTGTGAATGCATGACGGGGATTCGAGCGTCCTGCCATTTGGAAGGAAAGGAGGGGTCTGCACCGGTCGGTGCAGGTTGCCAAACGTCGCTCCCTTTTGTAGACTGCTGTGGGTTCGTGTGTGGAGGTCAGGCCACCGAGCTGTCGGACGGGAGTTTGTCATGTCGGTTGATTAGTAGCATTCTCGCTCGAGCGGTGATGAGCTTTGGCTCGATGATCTGCCGAACGGGGTGTGAAATCTCCTCAGGCGGGGCTTAGCCTGTTGGCTGGCGGAGGGAGTACCACTACATGCGGGCACAGACTGAGCCTCGGGGACGATTAGTAGCTTCTCGTAACTTGGTTTGGGAAAGGCTGTTCCTTATCAGACCGATGGAAGTGAATGCCTGGACGACTGGCTCCAATGGCCCTACCGAGATGTGTGGGGTGATTCCCGAAATTAACGGTGGGTACACGAGCGGCAAGTCGGGACGCGGTATTATGGGCAAGAAGGTGAGGGCAACCCCCCACCGAAGTCTGGGTACCGCGCTCGTGACGGTTGAGCTGCGCTTGAGGTATGGGATAAAACTCTGCCGATACTTACAGTGGAGAGAGCATTTATGGGGAGAAGGTCGGTGAGGAGATGACCGACCTGTGTGCGACGATTGCCTGAATTTTGCCTTTTGTGCCTCCCTCTGTAAAGTTGTTTGATGAATGTTGGAAGGGGATTGAGCTTCTAAGTCTATTCTCAGCCCCAAATCTAAGTCCGCACGAGTGAGAGAACATGATGATAAAGGCTGGATAGGAGTCGGAAGGAAATGGAACCAAGAAAAAGGAATGCCGGATGAGGGTGACTGATCGAGGGTATGATGGGGTAACGATATCTGGGACATAGGTAGGAAATGCTGAGGAGACCCAGGGGAGGGGTCTGAAAATAATTCTCATTTAGGCGGGAGGCGATCTGACCATGAGGGGCCGTGTGGTGCTCTCATGTGGAAACAGGATAGGCGCCGAAAAAACAAGATGGCGTGATGGTTGTCGCCCCCTGTCTACTCTAGCGGTCCGGAAATGCCCATAGGTGTAAGGGAAGGGGTATATGTCGTCCTCCCGGAGGAAGGAACGTGGACGGACCTAGAGCCAGCTTATGAAACCGTGATGCTGGACGAGAAGGACGCATTCCTCTGGATAGAGACAATCTGGACTAAGGTCAGCCTGACAAGACTTTTACCCAGCCTGATGGACCTAGAATTCCGGGGAACGGTGGAAGCTTGAGGAGGGGTCCATGTATCTCAGGAAATGGAAAATGCAATGGTAGTGGGACTAGTATTGGGTACGACACCAGATCAGTTGTTTAAGCAAGCGAAACTGGGAGTGGTATGGGCGGCATGTCAGCGGGTGGAAATTGAGATGGAAAAGATGGAGGTGCGGGTGGAACTCGGAGACCGGAAAAAATGGAGACGCCCCCTTAGGACGATGAGATGCGTGCTACCCCCGTTTCTGGTGGATGCAGTCTTTGGGACCAGGGATAGTTTGAAATGGATATGCCGATCGATGACGCGCCTGAGGCTGTACCAATGTGCTAGACAGGATTTCTTTAGACTGTCAGTGGAAGCAGGGCCGTTTGAAGGAAACTGGGCGGAAGAATTGGCTGAGGTATTAAACCTCCTCAGCGCGGATGAAGTCTTTGTTCCTAGCCCGGTGTATTGGCGGATAGTCTATCGGAATGTGGTGGCAGGGGAGACCTTCTTGGAGGGGCTAAAAGAGTTGTTCGCAGACGGGGAGGAGGATTTCAGTGATGATGAGGATGAGAATGAGATAGAGGAATGGGACTTTTGAGAAAGGGATGGGGACTTATCCAGGAACGGGATGTCGACTATGTGCAGGTAGGGAGCGATGGCCCGGGGACTCGAGCTGTGGGATTGCACGTGGAAACCAGAACGAACTGGAGGGGGAGTAAAAATGTTTATACTGCCAAGTAATGAATAGAAGGGGGCCACATGTGATTGGCAGGGGTATGAGATCGTGCCAGAGCTATCATACCTGTGGATAGAACGTGTCTGGAGCCCGTTGAGGGAAGAGGAAGGATGGGAAGACATCGCAGAAGGGAGAGTAGAGTCCGTGGGGACGGTCGTCTTGTCAGAACAGGGGTGGCATCTGTTTTGCACCATGCTTGCGGCAAGACAGAATCCGATGTGGCTTTTGAAGGGCGCCGAGACAAAGGTTTGAAAGGCAGGAGAGAGGTTCACCAATTAAGGCTGGGATGTGGTTTGTAGTAGAGTCGTGATGGGAGGATGGAAGGAGTTTAAACCGCCTTGCGCCCGGACCAAGACCTGGGTGCCAAATTTCGTGGCAGACTGGTTTGGGGGCTTTGATCACGTCGCGGAAGTAGCCAGCACTATAGAGCGGATACAGTAGACTGCGCATGGTTGGCAGAATAATTTTATAAAACGTCTCTGAAATTCGGACCCTTCCATGGCGGCAGAGCCCGGGAGGTCCTTATCATTTTGAACATCGAAAGGGATGACCGGCTGAAAGTAGCCCCTGAAATTAGGGACGCCATAATCGGTCGGGAAGTAGCCGCGACACAGTGCTATGTGGATGATGTGTTCAAACTGTTTGAGGTGTTGTGGTTCGACTAAAAGAGCGGTAAAGCCGCGGGGTCAGGCAAGCATGAGAAAATTGCTAAGATAAGGGGATGGGATGTCTGGCCATTGTAGGTCTCGGTATGGATTGCGAGAGAGGAGACCAAGGATAAAGAGCGCAGATGGCGCGAAGAAGGACGTTCCGTGAGGACCGCCCATTGGGCATTGAGCCGCCTAGGGATGCAGTTGGCGGGGTAGAAATTAGCTTGCCTACCGCAAATGAGGGTTGGCACCCGGTGGTGGATTGGGTCGGGGAGGAGCTTATGGGAAACATGGTTTACTTAGTGACGAGGGTTGAATGGCGTGCGGATGAGAATGGGGAGGGGAACCCGGACCCGCGGGGGCATGTGCGGGTGGAAGGACGAGTGTATATGTCTGAGGATGGGTGGCGGGAGTTTGGAGTCCAGCTGGCATCAGGGGAGGATCCGTTGAGAATGTTTGAAGGGGCATGACAGTTAGTATGGCGGGCAAGGTTCGAGTTTGCACACCCGGAGGTCGATGATGTAACGGCGAACCTTAGGGTAACCATGGTCAGGAGTTTCGAACTGCCTAGTGAAAACGTTCGAATGAGGCTGCCACCCTTTTTGTTGGAAAGACTAGGCGGTCGGGAGCTTGTCAGACGGGCGGAGCAGACCTCACCGATCTGACGTATGAAGACGCGTTAGTCTATCAAGAGTACTATCGGGCCTTCCTAGAAATGGGGCCGTTCAGCGGAGAGCAGAGGTATGAGGTATTGCGAATCCTGCGCACAGTGTTTACCACTAGGCCAAGGGCCCGGGTTGTTAGCAATGGGGTTCTGTGGGGCGTTGTCCGATGGGAAATAAGTCAGGGGATGACGTACGTGGATGACCTGTACCGACTATATGAGCCGACGGAAGTAGGAACAAGCCGGTAAAAGAGCCAAGGAAAGCAGGAAAGGTGATAGAAGAGGAAAGGAAGCATCAAGGCAAGGACCGAGGAATTGCCCAGGTAAGGGTCGGGGAATGGATGGAATAAGCAAACTCACTTGCTGTTTAAACTGTGCAGGGGACCGCTAGTCAACAATGGCAATGAGACGCGCCCGGATGTCGCGACGACCCACGCACCCCCGACCGCCCACGGAAAGCGGAGACGGATGGGAGGTATCGCTCCCGGCAAGCTATAGGGTCCGAGGGATCGATACCGAATGGAGAGCCGTGACCTTGGTGAGCCAGGCGTTCATGATGGTGGAATGTTTGTGGGATGGTATGAGGATTAATAGGGGACCAGGGGACGATCTGTACATTGACCTTAGGGTGACGGGAACCGTATACCTGCTAGAGCTCAGGTGGCACATGTTAGGAACGGAGCTGGCGCTAGGACATGGGTTATTACCAATCTTTCAAAGGGCTACTAGGGTACTGAACCGAGTAGGCCAGGAAGTGCGAGGGAGGAGGAATGTAAGATTGAGGACCCGGGTGGAAGTAGGAGGTTGGCGAGAGTTTAAGGCCCCAATGACAGGGCTGAGGTGCCGAGTCCCCCGCTTCATGGTGGACCTGGTATTTGGCAGCCTCAAGAGGGCTAGGGACTTAGTGGATTCGACCCTGGTCTGGATTCACCACTTTCGACCACAGACAATGGGGATGTTTTACGATGTGTCGGTCAGGCATGGGCCGTTCTGGGGTAATCATGCCTGGTAATTACTTGACCTGATTGAAATCTTGATATTCGGGTTGCCTCGCTTGGCGTTTGAGGAGTATGAATCAATAATCGTTAGGAAAATAGAGATGGGAGAAAACTACCTTGCCGGGGTGGATGATCTGTTCGAGGAACCGGACGAACAGGGCAGGCCTGAGGGACTAGCGTGAGAAGAGGCGCCAGGGGGAAGACGGGAAAATTAAAGGATGGGTATTAAGATGAGAAAGTAGCCATCAGCAAGAGGGGGGGCACTGGTTGGAGTTCCGCCCTACCTGACGATGCGGCAGGAAGGAACTAGGAAGACCACCCGCACCAGGAACACCAGGGCATTTGGGTGTCAGAAAGCCGAAAGGGCTATCCTCAAGGGGAAGGCCGCTGGGCTCAGACACCACCCTAAGAGCCGAGGCAGGGCGACGACAAAATGCCAGACCTCGGCAGCAAGTCCCCCGACAGAAGAAAATCTAAATGGTATCCTGTGAAAGAAAAGTCAGGAGTATCATCCCGACTTATGAAAGACGGAAAAAGGCATGAAAACAACCAGGTTTTAGGGCTGGAACTAGGGAAGCCATGAAGAACCGGCTATTTTTCGCAAAAAAAATTCCCATGTGCAGGCTAGGTAAAGAAATGGCGTCACAAAAATAGGACGACAACCATTAGAACAGAGGGAGTCAGGGTACGAATAGGAACGAGGAACAGAACGAGGGGTCGGATAAGGAATCAGCAAAGCCAAAAGAAGGGAAGGACCTCTCCACAGGGGAAAGTTCATGAAAAGTTGGGGGTAGCGAAAGGGGACCGCAGGAGAATAAGGAAGGGAGGGACGACGGAAAGGGGAGTCCTCGGAACTCCAGAGGAACCACGCCCAAGAAAACAAAAGTCTCGGATGCACGCTGCAAACTGGCAGGAATAGAAAGGCGAACCACAGAATACAATGCAAGACTTATTGAACAAATGATGGCTGGGAATGAAGAGGATCCCCAGGGGGAAGGGTCGCGAGAGGGACGCAGGACCAGTCAGGGCGAAGCCAGGTACGGAGCAAAAGATAACAGCCGTAAGGGAACACCCAACAAGAAGGGGAAGGAAAAGGGGGAGTCCCCGGCTATAGAGGCAGAAAAGGCCACGACCCTGCCGGCTATCAACAGCGGCGCTAATCATCTGCCCGCCACATCCAAAGCAACGAAGGGATGCGATGGACTTTGGAGTCTCAGAGAGAGGGTGTTAGGCTGGTTTGATTCGGAGGGAACACCGAAAACCGGGGAAAAGCAGAAGGAAGGCAGGGAAGGAGAGGGGAATAGTGCGGTTGGTGAGGCGGGTAGCTCTGAAGGGGGACTTAAAAGGATAGTAGCCACCCTCACCCGGGCGCTAAATAAGAATCAGGGGTATCTCGCAGACACAAAGAAGAAACTCACTTTCGATGGGGCAAACATCACGGAATTCCTGATAGATTACGAGAACCTGGCAGCCTTACTAAAATGGACTGAGGAAGAAAAGATGGACCACCTAGGGCAGCACGTATCGTTGAGCTTAGGAAGGGACATTATGACTATTGTCTCCTCTAGTGGATCCAGGAAGGAAACCCGGAATGAGATGATGAGAAAGTACCTGAAGGCGGAGAAAATGGCGACAGAGGCTGAATTGGCGGCAGTCCAAAGGAAAAATTATGCTACTTACAATGACTTTCTGAGGGTGTTCACTCTAGTGGCACTGCGAATTCCTGGGGTAACGGATCGAATAATGAGCAAGTATTTCCTTAGGCAGTTCTCCGAGTTCGACAAAGATAAGATTCTGTCAGCTTACCAGTAGACCAGCAAGTTCGAGTACACTAGGGATGTGGACTTCAACACAGTAACAAACCTCGCAGAAAAGACAGTGGTGACCGATACGCTAGCCCTGCTTAAGGAAGGGGAGGTTATAGACTTGACTGGGAAGACAGGGGATAAGGTTAAGAAGGGGATAGAGAGTTTGCACGAACGAGTGCACGGGGTTGATAGCAAGATGGAAAGAATGGAAAATGCGCTATTAGTAATACAGGCGCAGGTATCCCGACCCGCCCTCTGGCCCCAAGAGACCGTAGTTCCGGCAGCAGTGGCGAATCGGGGGTATGGCAGAAGGGATCCGTCCAATGAGCAATGCAGGTATGCACAATGGTCGGACATTTCGTGCGGACTTGCCCAAGACTCAACCATGATACCATGAGACAGAGACGCAGCAGGTCCCTTAAGGGTGAGATTCTCGGACCCCAGGGAGAGCGCGTAAATTGAAATTCGCCAGGAGAAATGCGGCGTGCCGTCATCATCCTAAATAAGCTGGATATAGCTGCCATAGAAGCCGAGCCGGTAGTTGACATTGTTTGGGATCAGCCGAGGAGGCGAGAGCGAGACTAGGGCGGATAGTCGGACTAGTGTAACAGACATAGTATATATGGCGGTATATAAGTGATTCGCTAAATATAGAAAGGGGGCGCCTCGCACGTGCGCTTTTGTTGCAAGAACCACCAGGATGGCGTCTTGGTGAAATTCAAGGGGCCGAAAGGGTTTCGTAACTTTTAGGGGCCAAAGCGTGATGAAAAATCCTTAGGAAGTCGAGATAAGGTATCAACCAGCGGGCAACCGGAATCGAGCAAAGCATGGGTGTCCGAAATGGGGAAATAAGCGGTTCTGCTTATCTATCCTGCTTGTGACACGAGTAAGAGAGACCATCGAAACAGTAAGACAGGTAGAGGGCGAGAAAACATATAGGGTAGGGAGAACCCTAAAGTGCACAAGGAAGCGAGAGGACAAGGATTAAGCTGATTTGAAGACAAAAACATCTCCGGAACTGACAGCAATAGGAGAACTGTGAGATGTAGAGTACAAAGCAAGTTCTCCTTCCTTCGATTGTATGGCATGCAGGTCTGATACATTATGGACGTCGCAAGCAACCGAAGGGGCCAGAAGAATAAACGTGACCGGATAGGCAACATGAATGGTTGGAATCCGGGAGAACAAGACGGTAGCATAAATGCCAACCGACGGTTCAACAGCGAGGGGGTCAAAGGCAACGCGAGGGGGATTTTGGAAAAAGGGAATCCTACCGGGAGAAGGTCTGCAGAATCTCGGGGAATGAGGCCAACCGTAGTCGGAAATACGGAAGAGTCACAGACCTCGGTGGCTGGAGTGATAAAGAAAAGGAAGGTAGCGGATACCCTACGAAGACTCAAGGAAGTGGAACATATGGTAGCAACTTACAAGGCTGGTGTAATTGAAAAAATGATAAGGAACATCGAGGTTGAGAATGACAATGAGCTGTATAATGATGAATGGCAGGGTGAGATGAGACAAGAGCGCATGATTGGGAAACCCGGTGGTTGGGGAAAGGGCGTAAACGCGGGAGAAAAGGGGGGGGTGCGACCCTCCGAGGTAGGGACCACAAAGGAAATAAAGGAGCAAAAAGCGGACTGTGGAATGAGTCAGCAGACAGGGGGACAATCCTTGTCAAACGAAGACTATAGTGACCTGTGGGACCTAAGGGAGAAACTGACAATCTATCTCGACCAAGAAAGGGGTGTCAGGACAGAAAGTCGCCAGCGAATCTACGAAAAATCTGAGGTCCTAGAAACAACCGGGTACGGAGTGAAAAGGGGGTCGAAGGAGTTGCACGATCAAGGCGAAGGGGCGGACAACTAGAAGGAAAGGATAGGGGATACCCTCCGAGTGGTGCAAGCCCGCGTATCTCGAACTCCGTTGGTGCCCCAAGAAGCCCTAGCTCCAAGACCCGAGCGCCGAACCGGTCAGAAAGATCCTTCGAAGGAATCATGTCGATATTGCGCCTTGATGGAACACTTCGTTAGGCTTTGCCCGAAGCTTAACCATGACATCTTAGGAGGGCGGTGTTATAGGACCCTCAAGAGACAGATCCTGGGTCCTAACGGAGAAAGGGTTGACTGGAATTCACACGGGGGGATGAGACGCGTTATAGCGACATTAAACAACCTAAATTTTTCGGTAATGGAAAAAGAGGAAGCGGACGAGCTTTATTGAGGGCCAACATGTAACCACGAGAAGAAGTGGGGTCGTGGGTAGGACGGGACCACCGCTCGAGAAAGGAAGGAGGGACGCGACCGGACCTCAACATCGAAAGAGCACCGAAACGAGCGATGCGACGTGAGGACCAGAGGTTGTGAGGACGAGGATAGTCGAGGACAAGAACCAAAAAAAAAAAAAAAAAAAAAAAAAGGGGGATCATCGCCAAGTTATCGATACTTATTGCGAGAGAGAGGCGGAGGAAGTAGCCAAGTTGGAAGAGGGAAGGAGGACCTTAGGTTGATAACGCAGCCAAGGGAACATTACAAAGTGGCATAAGGAATTTTGGCAATTAGGCAACCAGTGGTTTTATCATGGGTTAATGTAATACCTGGGCCATCAGGGTCGAAAGAGAGATGAGGAGGGGCGAGTCGGTCACAGTGTCGACTTCCCACGACGGAAGAACGCTGAGATGTCCGCAGGAAGGAAAGGATAGGTGTTCTCGCTTATAAGTATGGTTGGGGTACGCCCCGCAATTAAAGGAACTTGGAGAGGTTAGGGGACAAAAGACCAAGAAGGAAATCGAACCACGGCGAGAGAGGCTGTATGTAAAGGTTGTATGTGGGATAGACGAAGGTCAATTAGTCATCTCGGTCGTTTTTTGGGGGGTGTGGTCTAGATTACGCGAAAGTTGACAAGGGCAAGACAGGTTGATGTCGCTCTCTAGATGCTACCTCTCGCGCAAGTTTATGCTGAAAATATTCAGTACTGGCTGGGACATTGGGATAAGAACTGGTGGCAACAAGAGAGAATAGGCAGGATGTGAGTTTGACAAATGTATGCTAGAAATGTTGGCGGAAGGGCTTGGCCAGTGGGAATCAGGCCGTCAAAACAAAATGAGACAGACACTAGTCGGGACTTAGTACGGATGAGCAAGTTTTTGAGTCACCTTTTGTTGACATGCTACCCTGAAAGGTTTCTGCAAAGACAATGGTTGACGGAAAACATTGGTGTGAGACTAGCCAGGGCGGTTGTATTATGACTCCTGAGAAAAACTAAGATCGTATTTTGAAAAAAGGCAATGAAATTTGGTTCGTTGAGGAAAGCAAGACATTAAACGTTGGTCGAACACGAGAAGAGGTTAGGGGACCTATGGGTAAAGAGGCATGTGGAGCCTCTTCCCTAGGAGCCTAATCCAACCAGTTACAAACAATTTCACAAGCAATGAGGGGCATGAGAGGTCGGAAAGAGAGAGGGAACATTGATGGAGCAATCATTCTCTGCAATGGTTGAACGACCGGACTGGCTAGTGCTGCTTGGGGCTGCGAGCCTCAACTCGAGCATTAAATGCTAAGTCGGGTGTATATATGGATGATAAAAGATTGTTGAAAAGGATAAAAGGAAAAGCGCACGCATAAAACGCTAAAGAGATGACCACCTTCTAACCTCCGAGACAGAGATGGGATCCGTGTCCTCGAGGCCCATCCCCTCGGGCGCTAACATGGAAATGGATAAGGATGGCCCTAACCAAGCTGTCTGATTGAAATGGATAAGGATGGCCCTAACCAAGCTTTCCGCTTGAAATGGAAAAGAATGGCCCTAACCAAGCTGTTCGACTTGGAATTGGAAAGAACGACCCTAACCAGGTTGTTCGGAATGGCCCCTGACAGGGGTCATTCTTTGGAATTGGCACTGGGGTCCTCTTGCATGGCTGTTTGAGATGGATGAGATTGAGAAGAGCTGAGTTTTGGAAAAAATATTGGACTGAGCTTTGGAAAAGATACTGGACTCAGCTTTGGAAAAAAATATTGGACTCAGCATTGGAAGAGATATTGCATTGAGCATTGGACTGAGATTGAGCATTGGACTGAGATTGAGCATGAGAATGAGACTAAGCATTGGAATTGGATTGAGTTTTGAAAATTGCACTGCATAAACAAGAGACCCTAGGCAACTTAAAATGGACTTCGAAAGATCATTGAAATGAAATTTCTTTTTTCTTCTAGTCCTTTGCCTCAGCAAGAGGGGGACACCGGTGCATGCACCGCGACCCCAAGACCTCTATCCCTTTCAGGAAAAAAGTCTCAGCGCGACCTGTTCCTCTTTGAAGAGGATGAGGGTTAAAGGACCAAGGCACCTACCACTTGGATCGGTGTTGGCCGTCCGGAACCACCTCCGACAATGAGCTCTAGTCGGGGAGTTCAAATTGCGCCTCCTGTTGAATGCCGAAACGTCAAAGGGCGAGAGAGCCAAATGGGCGAGAGAGCCATTCTCATCTAGTCTATTTTTGCTACTCTCCAACCACACGTCATGTCATAGAGGGGTGTCATGGCCGTATGGGTCGGACCTCGGCTGCCCGCGCTAAGTTGGGTGGCACCGTCCAAGGGGAGGGGCCGGGCAAAGGTACCGGGTGGAGTCCGTCACCACCACGGGGCATTAACACTGCCCTGCCGGAACATTACAACCGTTTCAGGACTAATTGCGAGGTCTTCGTAACTGCGCTCGCGGACTAATTGAGAGCCCCAACTCTCTTAAAAGGAAGAGGCCGGATCCAGAAAATTACCACTCGGGAGGAACGATTCGCGAGGGAAACTCTTACGACCAGACGGGGCCCTAAGAGGCTTGGACTGGACCTACCTGCCAGAGGTGAGGAGGAACCTCAGTACTGGTGCTCATCGTGTAATAGCGAAAGGTCGGACTAAGTGGAAGGATGAGGCGCCACCCGCTGGGGAGGAAATAATCACCCCTCCTTCGTGAAGTGAGTGGGCTTACGTCCTTGACTCAGTCGGCGGGCCAAAGGTCTCGTACCTCCGAGTGAGAACCAGTCGCGCGATGGGGACATCGCGTTTTGAATGGGGGGAAGGTG